CTGTGCGGACTCGTCGATCACATGGTAGTTGTTGTCGTAGTAGACCCGAAGCTGGAGCTTGCCGTAGCCGCTGCCGTTGCCGCTGCCGCTGCTTCCATTGGGGTTGTCGAGGTTGAACCACTGAGGGGCAAAGGGCTTGTGGTGGTCGGCGCGGGTGCGGATGGCTCCCTTGCGAATCTCCAGCTTGGCCAAGGTCTCGTCCTTGTTCGGCAGGAGACGGTCCTGGACCATGAGCACGAGGGGCTCGTCGAAAGGCTCGCAGGCAACGAGCATGAGCTCCTCGTTCTTCCATGTCGGGTCCGGGGAGCGGTCCGAGGAGACGAGAGTCCACCGCAGCTGGGCACCGAGCTGGACCTTGATGTAGATCGCCGGGTCGGGGCGGGACGGCTTCAGGTCCTGGGCCGAGATGACGTTGACCCGGAGGTAGCTCATGCGGGGGCTGAAGTAGACCTTGGAGCGGGTGTGGGGGATGCTCGCCAGGGGAAGAAGGTGAGCGTCGGAGTGCAACGCGTCCGGGTACACCTCGTCCGCCTGCGTGCCCATCCACACGGCCATCATGATCTCCCCCCGGTAGGCGTCATCGTCGCGGTTGTTCCCCTTCCGCAGCCTGTACCACTGAGGGGCGACGGGGCCATCCGGCGGAGCGCGCAAGGGGACCTCGGGGAGCTCGATGGCGACGTCGCCCACGATGTCGTCTTTGATTAAGTTCTTGTCTTTCACCACCACCTCCAGGCGCTGTGCCTGGATGTGGCCCTTGGAGAAGGCGAAGACGTTTTCCCACTCCGGGTCCCGGTTTCGCTCCCGGTGATTGGTCTTGTTGGTGAAGTTGCCAAGCTTCACCACGACGTAAGGATCGAGGCTGCCGACGATGTCCATGGCAGGGAGGTTGCGGGCCCTGACGATGCGGACGAAGAGGAACTCCATCTGCTCCACGAGGTCGTAGGTGCTTTTGATCTTGTCGCTGTTTCTGGCGAGCCGGTAGCCCATGAGGGCCGCGAGTGGCGGGTGGGTCTCGACGATCCCGTACTCAATTTTGGGCGGAGGAGCTTGCTGCACTGATGCCGCCACCGCTGGCCCCGCCAGGTCATGGTTCGCCCGGTAATAAGACTGCGGCGAGCGATGGTGGCTCCTTTCGTGGTTCGAGAAGAACTCTGTTGTCTGGCTAACTTGACTCTTTCCTGTCGCAGATGGGGTCCCGACAGAGCGGAACTCTCTCCGCTCCTTTTCCTTGGTAAACGAACGATGGCTCTTCTTCTTAGGCGGCATCATCTCGCCGACGGATACGGTGGACTTGGGCGGCAGCGTTTCGGCGGCGGATATGGTGGAAGGAATGGACTCGAGGATAGTGGATGATGATGGAATGGATTCCAGAACAATAGTAGGTGCAGAGACGGAGGAGAGGGGACGGTGGCCGTCGGCAGCTTGGGCTTCGTAGGCGTCAGGGACGGCGTAGAGGCGGAGGGTTATTTCACCACGGACGTTGAAGAAGAGGCTGCGTTTGTCGAGGGGGCAGAGCTGGAGGGCGGCGTCGAGGCGCGAGGACGCCACGGAGGATCCAAGGAGGCAAACGCGGCCGAGGAAGCTGCGACGGCGACGGCGGTGGTCCACGGAAGAGGATAAGCGCTCGTGGAAGACGGAGACGTCGATGGTGCGGTCGGGGAGATCAAGAGGGTCGGAGACGTCGAAGACGAGGGTCTCGTTCCACGACGGGTTGAGGTCGTTGAGTTTGGTCGCGGTGCGGCGTCTCTGTCCATCGAACTCCACTTCGACGAAGGGGTTCGTCGTGCCGTGCCTGCCTGTGGGCTTCAGGCGGTGGGCTCGAACGACCTCCACCGCCAACTTCATCTCCTCGTTCAAAGCTGCAAAACTCCGTGAGGTCAGTTATACGACGTGACTGGTAAAAGCCATACCGATTAGATCATTTAGATTGTCCGAATAAGGAGGCAACAAATAAGATGGATAGTTTAAATCATGACACTGTTCAACGATCAAATGGTTCAATCATCAGCGTTGGACTTGAATAGTCCTTCCTGGAAAAGATAGTAAGGTCGACAAGATGATGCAACTAACAAAACTAGAACATAACATGATTTGGTAGGGGCAAATACTGCCGTTTTCAATGTTCAAATTACCTGATTAGAATAGTGTCTCGAGTTGGGAGGAAGGAAGGATCCTTATCAGAAGACTGGGATTGGCTGTTGGATGAGAGACTAATAACAATACAGATTCGTTGACTTGACTTGATGTGGGGAATCATTCGCACACATCCAACATCAGCCACAAAGTCATCGCGAGCATGAGTTTGCTCGAGAGGAAGATGACAAGAAGACAGGACTTAAGAAAGCAAGAGTCAATGTCTAAATACACCTCTTTGTTGGATGCTTTGGTGTTTATGACTGTGTGCCGATCACATAACAAACGTCATGAAGGATGGGAGTGGAAGGGTTCAAAGGCAAGAAAATGAATACTCTGACCATCATCAAAGGGTGACAAGGCGTTGAAGCTAACGAGGAGACTGTAAATGTATCAATGAGCCTCTCGACTTGATGACCGCCATTGTTGTTAAAGTCAAGGTCAGCTCAAAAACTAGTAAGAAAACGCCCTGAGGGTGGCCAGTTACATCACAAGGGAGATTCCTAGAAGAACATAATCGGAAGGTTTGTTTGCTCGTCTTTGCTTTCCTTGCGCCTTTTAGTTGTCCCTGATCTGTAATGTTGACACAATAAAGTTGACTTTAGTCAACGGAAATGAAAAGATAAAAAAGGGATCTTGGCTCTTCATGGTTCATATAATAATTACATCATACATGAAAATGTCGAAAGTAACAGAGGGGTATGATAGTTGCAGTAATGGTAGATGTTGCTTCTCATCCAATTCTATAGCAAAAGTAAGATTAAAATGGCCGTCAAATGCATTCATTGAAGTATGTTTTGTAGAATTATATAAATCAGGATAAGTGCCTATAGTATAAATAAGAAATATGCAAGACCACCTAGGATCGAATCTGAAGGGAAACAACAGCGATAGGGCAATCATAAAGAGGATAGAACATCCATGTATCAAATAGATTTTATCACCATTTTACCTCTTACCTCAATTTGCTGTTGTTTCAATAATCCGTAGCCAGTTTACAATCCCTATATTCTGGTGTGTATGAAGCTAGTCGCATTTAATATTTCGATAGATCTTCCTCACGAACAAGGTGGAGTCAAGATAACCAACAGTACCTGAATTTTGCACAAGAGGAATTCGCAAAGTGAAGAAATTGGAAGAATAAGATCAGAAAATTTGGGAACTCACCACAAATAATTCCTAAACCCAAACAGAACATTGAGGTGTAGCCAACATAGAAGGTGGTCTGGGAAAAGCCTATTATCTTTGTCTTTATGTAGCAATAATATACCCAGTAAAGTATGAAGTCCACTGCCAACGATAGTTCTCAGCACTCAGTAAGAAGTATGTGCCCACAATAGTCACACACACTGACTATGATGAGGATTAAGAAAAGTAGTAACATAAAGCCATAAACATAGTACACCTGTCCAAGAAAGACAATAAAATTTAATTGTTTCGCTTATCATAATCCATTTACTGCATCAGCACATTTTATTCAGTTTGTGATTTTTTAGATAATTCGGGATTCAAAGCTGAATGGCACTGCAATAACATTCCAAATTAATTCAAAAACATAAAAGGACTGGGTCTTCCCAGGAAAATATAGAGATATTCCACTGGCTAATATTTAAACGTATTAGGTACGAATCAATTGCCATCGATGCAAATAACTGAACGAGCTTACCTTGTAAATCCAGAATGATGTGAAGACAAAATACATCTTAATGAAGATACTGCAAAAAGGGAGAAGTCCCACATATGTGAGACAATGTAGGGCATGACATACCAGTTCTCAGGGATAGTACGTGGAATAGTCTTTATAGAGCATGGATTGTTTTGGAAACCATTCCAGTTCCTACCAAAGGCTGTGCTGAGAAGTGCAAGAGGGAGTGAAATGAAAGCCCATGATACAAACACAGTTAGTATTGTCCCAAATGGAATAGCTGCCAGTAAGCCAAAAAATATAGCAACTGTGTTAAGCATGAAGCCTGTTCCAAAGCACATAAATGCAAACAATGATGCTCTCTAGATCATTTGTCTTCATCCAGTTTTTTCCTGGCAATGAGGAATATGAAACAAATTTAATTGTAAAATAAAGACTAATCTAATCATATTTCAAGCCAGGAGCTTCTTAAGATTGCCATATATTTGCTATTTCAGAATATAAAGATGACTAATTTGTGACAAACCATACCAATTCTGTGCATAAAGTCCACCACTTAAATAGCCTGAAATGAATGATGTAAGAGCATAACATACCATAAAGGTTGTCACAATAGCCCCGCATCTGTCACAAACCAAAACCCATTACTGATGAGTAGATAATCATTAGAATCCACTTTTGGCAGTTAGATAAGATAATGATAAGAACACAACTGTGAACCACCAAGAGATCAAAGAGGTAAAATATTCATGTTTATAAAGAAACTCCTATACTTTTTGGAAACTCTACGCAGAGAATCCATCTTACTGATGGTATATCAGAGACAATTAGCCTCCTGCCTTGAAAGTATATCCGCAAGCATGAAGTTAAATTTACAATAACCGCACGACAGAAATATCCTAGTTCTATCTCAAACACTTTATTGATATGAGTAAATTCATGTCACAAGTCTGATGGACCTGTTCTAAGGGATGAACTTCTAGGCCAGGCACATAGAAAAGGCAATGGAGTGGTGCTACTAGCTCAAAAACCTTGTTAGAATGAACATTTACTGTATAGTTAAAACTACTAAGTGCAATTTATTAATAGTAGGGCCAACTCATCTAGTCTCCTATACTAATCCAAGTCACAATCATCTTCCAATTTTGAACTACTGGGATGTTGCAATATAATCCTTGAAAGTACATCAACATCATATGCTCAAGCAGCATCATAGAGTGGATTTAGTGTCTAAACTGTCGATGCCAGTAATGATACTGGACACACATAGTGTCTTTTCACCTTTTTTTCCCCTGGGAAACATACTATGAAGCCGAGTTATTTTGGCCAAGGCACTCTGTTTCCTTCCAAGTGAATCTGTATTAAACTATTGGAACATCCATCCAAAATAAGATAACATAAAGACCCATATGTAGAGAATACATTTGGAGGTAAGACCTGTAAAGGTTTTGTTCATGTTTCTCTTATAATGGATCCACAATTTGTTGAGACTCATGAAAGATTTCAGCAATCTCAAGAATTAGAAACGAAGAACCTACACGCTAACACAACACCCGAACACAAATGAAGAACTAGAAACCCTAATGCTTGAATCGATCCGGCGTAGACGGATCGACCCGCCCATCGTGCCAATACAATTCTTCGATTCCAAGATGACGCGTGCGCACAGAACCAGCGAACAGATCAAAAACTCACCAGCCAAGAGTCCCGCAGAGCATCCATCCGTTCACGGTCGCGATCAAGATCTCGAAGAACAACGTAACAAGAGATCAATAAACCGATGGGGGTGGAGGGAGGGATGAAGGGGGGACGGAATCGGGGGCAGAGGCAGCGAGAAGGCGAAGGGTTGTGGGAACTACGGAGCATCGCCGCGGGAGGAGACGAAGCCGAGTTTAAACCGATTGT